TAGAATAAAACAAGTATGCAGCCAATATTCATAACTTCGAATACAAAAATGATACGTGCATACAAATAGGATTAATAGATTCAGTAGATCATGACCTTTACAGAGCTATATTACATGGTATATGTAGCATAAAACATATTCTAGTTATGTTATATAATGTACATACATTCATAAGCATATTTCCATGAAGCCTTATGGGTGGCATCGTCACACTCTCCTTCTGAACTTACTGCCAGAGGCTTGGACAATTTATCAGTTTACCTGGTATAAGCTTTATACAGGGTCAAACGGATTTCTTTGGGTTTTAGACCCCATTGGGAGTTGGGCATCTGAGTGTTAAAAACAAGAACACTTCTGTAAGTTGCTTTCAGTTAAGTCTGCAGCTTTAGGGCAAGAAATTCAGACCCTGGGTCTGTGTTGGAGCAGACGGGTGTGTCTGGCTCAGCAAAACAGGTTGCTGGGGTCCCGAGCTGGCAGGGAGAGCAGGGGCAGAGGTAGTCTTGGCACATCATTGGCAGCTCCCATGGGGGGTTCTGTGATCTAACCCATCACAACCACAAAAACAAAATGTGAACTCAAGCTGCTGGCTGTGCAGCAGGAAAACAGCTCTCAGACCTGTGAAAACATCAGTGGGCAAGTGCACCTGACAAAAGAGGTTCACTTCCATTTCTTTCAAACATTTTTCCTACCCTTTGTTTGGTGAGTGAGCATGTGAGTGAAGTGTGTGTGAAATGAGTGAGTGAACGTGTGAGTGAACTGTCTTGTGGGATTACCAGTCCACTGGGCTTTAGCAAGCAGTTCAAACATAGTTATTGAACATGGGTAATTTAAAGGGTTGTTTAACACTTCATGTCTGATATACACAAGTCTTTACGGAAGAACTGGTGCTTCACCATGTATGAAAAAAATGATTGGCATTTTGAGATGTTACAGACTAACTAATTCTATAGTGAACATTTTCCATGTTGATTTGGTTGCTCAGTAATGTAGTGTGTGACGCCACTTCTGGTAGGTATGCTCAGAAGCTGCCTATTGGATTGGGTCCCATTCAAAATCGGGCTGGGGGGGAGGAAGAGGTGGTGCTGGTGCCCACTTCATAACTTTTAGCCCAATGGTTAGAGCACTTACCTGGGATCAGGGTTCAGTTTCCCTGAAGGGGGGCGGGGAGAGCATTTAAAGAGGGGTCTCCCACCTCTGAGGGGAGGGCTCCAACCAGCAAGCTATGGAATTCTTTTGTTGTGGGACTACTTCTATTGAAGCTGTTCACTTGCTGACCCAGTGCACCGATTGCCTTCATCCTCTGAGGGTTAACTCTGCTTTTGAAAATACAATCATCTTAACAAAGGCCGCGGAGGTAACTTGCTGTGCAGATAGCAAAATAACCCTTAACCCACCCAACCCCCCGGGTCAGCAGACAACTCTATGTACAGTAAGCACTGTGTCTGAATCTCTGTGTAGGTGGCCTTTACAACTCTAGAACTATTATAACCTCATTATGTCAAAACAAGTTGATAGCACAAACAGAGCCATGCTGGGGCATAGTCCTTTGATCTTAATCGGGCCATTCCTGCTGAGCTGCCAGAAATTTATTTTTTTACTTGGGTAACTCATTGGGACATCATTAAAACTATTAGACTTTCAGCAGCTACAAAATCCAGTTCATTTTATCAAGCTAACTAGTCCAATAATAGCAATGGCCATTTCCTGGAGCTTTACTAATCCTTCCACAGGGAGAATAGAATACAACCTTTCGCCTTCCCCAAAATGATCACATTTTTGAAACCTTCCTGATTAATTCACAACTCTTAGTCTCCAGATAAGTCATTTACCTACCACTATGACAGACATATTATCAAGGACAGAGCATGTATGGGTAGGTCTTTGTGTGAATGCAGTACAGTACTGTCAGAAGTAGGAGGAGCCTAGAACCCATCACAGAGAACATCACAAAGACACAGAGTATTTGAGGCCATTGGTTTCTCATACAAAACAACTAAAAACAAACTAGTTGTAGTTCAGATCCATTGTGAAATATGAATGCTGTGAATAAGATACAGTATTTCCTTCTGTTGCCAACAGAATTGTCTGTAAATGCCCTTAGAAAAGGGTTTTTTTATTCTGTGTGTAGGGACATACAATGTGTGTGTGACTTGTGCCCAGTAAGCCAATTTTATCAGTATTCTCCAAAGATTTACAGCTAGAAAAGACAATTTGTTATATCTTGAATAATCTTAAACAATTATTTCTCTCTGCTGATACTCTTTTAAATATTTAAACAAATCATTCTGAAATTAAGAAAACATGATCAAAGGTTTTTTTCCTCCCAACTGAGTGTGCTTCAATGTGTAATATATAAATGTGGGCTTTTATTAGCCACCAAGTAGTTCTGAATTATGAATAAATATTCTGTTTAAAAACCCAGCTGCAGAGAGATTAGAAGCAGGGTGTTTTTTTCAGAAGCTTCACTGGTGCACTTCTGTTTGCTGATGTATTTATAATTTACTGGAATGCAAGGCTTTCTTTGCAGAATCCTTAATTCTAATCCTGAATCTTAACTGCAACCTGAACTTTAATCCTTTAATATGTTTTAAATTGTCCATATATAAGACATGGGTCCATGCCACATCCTATTAGATCTTCAGCTGATGTCAGAGTAGTCCCATTGACTTCAGTGGAGCACCATGGATTTACACCAGAAGAGGGCGTGGCTCAGCATTTAGATCTGGAGTCTGAGCATTTCATATCTGAGATGTCCCTGTCTAGAGCCTGACTCTTGCATCCACTCCTGCAGTATAAAGGAGTCAGAAACCCAGCAAATTCACCCTCTTCACGATTCTCCCTGTATGGAAGGAATCCCCAAGTAGTGTAAAACCACCATAGCAACTCTTGCACAAGTCCCTTCCCAGCCCACAGCATGTGGGGATTCTTGTGAGGGGAAAAAGTGAGGGTCTGTGCACTGTTCTGCCTCATCAATCCTCAGCTGACAGAATAGTCTCTTGGGGCTGTGGGCAGCTGGGCCAAAAGGGCTCTTGACCTGTGCAAGGGCCAGGTTGGTTCCTGGCTTGGCCCGTTGTCAGGGGGAATGCAGAGGTGGTGCAAAGCTGCCTTCTCCCTCTAGCTACTGAGTTCTGCCCCAGAGAATCTGTCCCAGGGAATCTGGACCCATTTGACTCTCAGTAAAGAAGGACAGTTAATGGAATTCAGCTATAGGGCCGGATTTTGAACAACCCCAGAATTCAATGGTGTTTGGATCCAGGAATTTGGTTCTGGCCAATTTCTTCTTTACATGGAAATGAAGCTTTATCAAGGGGGGAAAATGATGGTTCTTAATTTGAACCAAGGTGTAATAGTCCAGTTTTTGCACATGTGCTTGGTGATCTTTTTTTAAAACTAATAGTTTAGATTAGGGCTGTCAAGCGATTAAAAAGATTAATTGCATGATTAAACATTAATAGAATACCATTTATTTAAATATTTTAGGATGTTTTCTAAATTTTCAAATATATTGATTTCACTTACAACACAGAATACAAAGTGTACAGTGCTCACTTGATATTTATTTTTGAGTACAAATATTTGCACTGTAAAAAACAAAAGAAATAGTATTTTTCAATTCACCTAATACAAGTACTGTAGTGCAATCTCTTTATAATGAAGGTTGAACTTACAAATGTAGAATTATGTACAAAAAATAACTGCATTCAAAAATAAAACAATGTAAAACTTTAGAATGTACAAGTCCACTCAGTCCTCCTTCAGCCAATCACTCAGACAAACACGTTTGGTTACAATTTGCAGGAGATAATGCTGCCAACGTCTTGTTTACAATGTCACCTGAAAGTGAGAACACTATCCGCATGGCACTGTTGTAGCTGGCATCGCAAGATATTTACGTGCCAGATGCTCTAAAGTTTCATATGTCCCTTCGTGCTTCAACTACCATTCCAGAGGACATGTGTCCATGCTGATGACGGGTTCTGCTTGATAACGATCCAAAGCAGTGCAGACCGATGCATGTTCATTTTAATCATCTGAGTCAGATGACACCAAAAGAAGGTTGATTTTCTTTTTTGGTGGTTCGGGTTCTGTAGTTTCCTCATCGGAGTGTTGCTCATTTAAGACATCTGAAAGCATTCTCCACACCTCGTCTGTCTCAGATTTTGCAAGGCAGCCATGATGGTGAAGCTCATGCCAATAGCCTCTATCTGTTCTTCCATCTTTCTCCCGTCCCCGAAGTCTCTTTCTTTAAGCACCCAAACAGAGAAGAATGGTTGGAATAGCACAGCCCCTCATTATTTTGTCCACCAATTAGGCCTCATATCTGACACCCCAATTTTGGTTCATTAATTTCTGGACCCACATTTTCTTATCTCCCAAGCATGATCGTAACACAGTCCTTGAGTTATATCAGTGAGCCTTTTTGTTTAGATTAATTTTAGTCTGTCACCCTTTCATATCTTTTCCCATCAACATTTGTTATTAAAGGTTATTGTGACATCTTATGAATTTTTACATACTTTTTACAGTTGAGCTCAGAATTAGGGTAAATTTGTAGGCTCAATTATCAGAACACTCCTTCCCTCTAATTAGGAGAGGGGTGGGGACTGTATTAGTGCCTTGGCACATCTGAAATATTCTAATATATATCCAGGTATCTTTCATTATATAATTCACAAAACTCTCAGAGATATTTAGATTAGCCCTTAAAAATCTCTGAATAAAATAAAAATCATGCATTTGATTGCATCTTCATTTCTTTCATATGCTTAAGTGAGGAATGTGTTTTACTAGGGCTGACATTAGATGTGTATGGTAATAATGAAATTCTTGAGAGCTTAAGTGCCATAGGCATTATATTGGCCCTCTGCACGTGGGTGAATTGTTCTTTGCCAGTTGCCATGTTCCTTTGTAATAAAGTAAAGAATGGCAGTTGATTTGCTGCTTCCTGGAAAAACAATTGCATGTGACCCGGTATTATCATGTTGCTTTGTTTACTCTAGATACGCTTTATACTGCTGTTCAGCCGACAAGGGAAATTAAGACTGCAGAAGTGGTACATAACGTTACCTGACAAAGAGAGGAAAAAGATCACACGGGAAATTGTTCAGATTATTCTGGCTCGCAGTCAAAAGATGAGCAGTTTTGTCGACTGGAAAGACCTAAAGCTAGTTTACAAAAGGTGTGAGTAGTTTTATAAGAATAAAGATTATATATATATATATAGAGAGAGAGACACACACACACACACACACACACACTACTAT